CAACCCCATGCCTATCCATCACTTCACTTCTGCAACGTTCTCACCGTGTTCCTCAAAATGCAGGGTGCCGGCGGGGGTGCGAGGGATGCAGCAGTGGCGGCGCTGGGGTGGACCAGCCCTCCTCCCCCTCCTCCCTCCCCGCCTGGGGCGGTGGGGGGCGAGGGGGCGTACTGGGGCCCCTCCCCCTCCCGCGCCGCAGTGCCGCCGCAGCAGTCGGTGTTGGCGCGCAGAGCCGAGCGGTCCGCAGCGAGCGTCGTCTGCTAGCCGCCCCCCGCCACGCGGTCCCCGCGCAGCGTTGTTGTGTGTCTTCCCGCCGAAACAGAGCAGCAGCAGCAGGGTGTCTTGCATCTTGCCGTTTGGTCCGGGTCAGGGAGAGAGGAACGACACGCCCCCCTTAGGGTGAGGGCCCCCCGGCCCGCCGCGCCGTGACGCCCGACGAGTGACGAGGCGCGAGTGTGACAAGTGACAAGTAGTGGCGCTCTGCTGCTCGAGTTTCGCGCGCACGGCGAACACGTGTGGTGACCCTACTGCGGTGTGCGCGCCAACGCTTGGATTACCTTTGAAGAACTTCAGAAACCCGAGAGCGAGGTGAGTCGAGGAGTTAGTTGTGAACAGCGACATAAGACATTGCCGACTCCATTAAAGATTCTAGTTTAATGTTTCTGGGAGTTAGCTCGCAAAACTCAGTGGTCTCACAGACTTTGTAGACCGGTGACCCAAGTTTTCTCAACAAATATTATTGTGTGGAACTACACTTCGATGGTTCGACACGTATCGACGAGTGCCGAGTGCTTTACAGACGACACACACGTCCTGAGAGCGAGGCAATGTCATCAGTGTGTTTTGCGCATCGGCTCGCGAAGTGCAGAATCACGTTAATTAGTCGCACATCCTGCTGAGGGCCTGGGGCCGATTAAGGGCGACGTAATCACCGCCCCACTTGCACTTGTCGGACGGGCTGTACTCGCGCGGCGCACCTTGCGCGACGCGTCCGGCCGGGTCCCCGCGGCTGTCTGAGATAAAGGGGCGCCTCGGTACAGTCCGCGGCAGGACGCGTCGTCCGACCGGGCGCGGGATAGTATGGAAATTAGCGTAGCCGAAGACGATGACTCTGTCACGACAAACATAACCGGCAAAAAAAAAAAAAAAAAAAAAAAAACAACTTCAAAACATTGACAACTTGGGCGCAAAGACGGGCGGGCACGTTCGAGTTCCGTGAACATAAGTAAATTTTACGGCAAAACTCCGAGCTGTGTCTTGCAAAATGATCACTGTAAAAAAAAAGGAACAAAGCAATATGCGAAATTAAAGTGACATGCAAGCATAGCAAGTTGAAAAGTATTTTTTATTTTCAGTACAGGTAATGCGCAAAATGTCAGCAGACACAGGCGATAGGGGCGTGATGTCCGAAACGTAAGCGCGCGACTACGACTACCAGCTGTTCCCCGATGACGGCGATGTTCGACCGCGGCCCCGCGCAGCTGCTAAGCACCTGATCAAATTCAAATCGCGCGCGCCCGCGGCGGGCCAGGCACGAGCCTGCAGAGGCGCGATACGGAGCCCAGCTGCGGGCGAGCGACACAGGACCTGTTTCATATTAACAAAATCTGTGTTTTTTGTGAGGCCTTTCTTTACACCAGCCAGAACCAGCAGCAGCGGGGAGAGAGAGAGAGAGAGAGAGCGAGAGAGAGAGAGAGAGAGAGAAGAGGGGTGGGGGTCGAGGAAATGAGAACGAATTTCAAAGGAAGAGGAAGAGGAGGAGGGGAGACAGAGTAAAGAGAGACGAGGGCATATCCAAGCGCGATGATTCAATAAGTAAAGCCGGGCGCGGCGTGCCCCTTCCCTCCATCACGGGCAAGATGAGAGACAGAGAGAGAGGGAGAGAGAGAGTGAGAGAGAGAGAGAGAGAGAGGGAGAGAGAGAGTGAGAGAGAGAGAGAGAGAGAGTAAACGGAGGCAAAATCAATAAGTCGTTTAACGCTGTCGTGCTTTTTGACTCTGACCGCCGTCCTGCTCAGCCAAGTCCCCTCCTTCCTTTCCTCTTTTCTTCCCAACTGCAACGCCTTGCCGGTGACCCCGGACCCCGGGCCGGAGCGGGGCAGGTGGTCATTAGACATGCATAAACCAAAACTCAGCGGCTCTGGTTCAAGCTTCTCGATTTCTTTCGAAACTGTAGTTTCCTTCGTCTTCCCCCTGCAGGCAGACGGAAATCGGAACGATGGTTTAGAAGAGGAGTATTAATCGTTGCAGTCCGTTCCGTTCTAACTAAGCCCCAAAGGGAGTTGTGAGAGCGCCTGGTGGTTAGGCAATGCTGTGCAGCCGTTCAGGGCGGGTGGCCTACCCTGAGGCTCGCAGGGGTC